CAGGTGAAATTGAGGGGAATCGGGAAGCTTTTGGTAGGAAAAAGGGGGGATGGGCAAATTTTTATCAGAAAAATGGGGGGGATGCACAATTTTTGGAAGAAGCTACAAGTCTTGCTTAGGGGGAATTGTATTTTTTTGCATGACTTTAAGGGGGGTATTAAGAATTATTCTGGACATTTCAAATTTTCATCTGCCCTCCCCCCCCACTCTGCCATACATTGTGAACGCAGCCTTACTACTCAGTGAGTGAAATAAATAGCTTTGACATCATATAATTCTAAACATTGAAATGCCTTCAGCCTTTTAAATGTTTATTGATGTTTGTTTCTCAGCCTGCTTGGCTGCTGTTGTCCCAGATGGCAAGTGCGTCGATCAAGATGGACGACAATCTAGTGATCCAGTATTGGAAGGATTATGCAGCAAAGAAACAAGGTTAGGAAACTCCATAATTTAATTAAATAAAATAGAAGGAAAGTTCCATTACCCTAGGCTCCAGAGGTTCTATTAGATTCCTGTGGTCGCAATGAGCAAGCCCTTAAGTCGTTACTCCTCACGACTTCCCTCAAAACATCAAACCCCAGAGTGGGAATAAATAACCTTTGGACCCTAGGGTAGGCTGGTGTGTTACTGATTAAAAACACATGTCTTTGCAGCCATTGATTACTCTTTCGTGAGGTTGGCTATAATTACATTACCTCTACATTCAATATTCTATGCACACATCTCTTTTAAACCAACTTGTTAATTTGAATAGAGGGAACACAAATCAGAAAACTTTGGAGAAAAACCTTACTGGCAAGGTAGCGGGCAATGCCTAAGAAAAATCAACTGAATCTCATATGTGAGAATTGTAAATTTATTGTCCCCCGTCATATCAAGCTAAACTCAAACTACACACAAAATAACCTGTTTTATATTGGCTGTCATAATGTATAGTTATACCCTTCAAAACGGAATTTTACTCGCACACATGTTCACTGGGATAAAGAGTGACGTTGTTAGATGTAATTGTGTTTAAAAAATACTTATCGATTCCTCTGGTACTGTGAATGTAAGTGTGTGTGAGATGACTGTTTTTATGAATGCATGCACTTGTTGCGCCACATCTGAACTATGCACTGGTCTTTGATTTAATTAACAGCTGTATTGATGCTACTGTACTGTTTTTGTAGAGTGTGATGATGAGACACTGTGTTGGGTGTTGTCAGTGATTGGAAGTGTGAGTGACAAGCTACCAGAAGACTCGGTCACAACACTCACAGGTAATGTCCCTTTTTTTGGTAAATGAGGAAACTGTTCCCCCTTTTCTGTCTGTTTATTTAGTCTTCTCTTACGTGGTTGGTTTTTACTCCTTCCTTTGATAATATGCAATATACATTTTTCATCATTCTTTTGGCTCTCCAGGTGACTTACAGCGCATGTTGAGTGGTTTTAAGAGTTCTCCAGAAATCATTGCAGCCATTATAGGTACACTTTGTAAGGTAAGCGTGTTATACGTTTCTGCTGATATTATTTCAAGGATTTCGTAAACACAGGAATAATTTTGATGTTTCCCTTGTGTTGGCAAGCTCCCACAACACAACGTCTTGGGACGCCGATTTGAGCAGCTACAAGGGTCCAAAGAGAAGTGAATGGAAGAACCCTACTAGAGTACCTGTCTTTCAACTGAGGGTTGTGTGTTTTCAATGCTACAATATGTTATTCCAACCCTTCTATTAGTCCTCATAAATTGGTGCACGTTTTTATGTTTCTTCTGTTTGTATTGAAGCTCTGCAGAGCCCAGCCCCAAGCCAAGGTAAGACTTACGTAACTAAATATGACATTTTTTATAATGTCAGGTTTGCCAATATCAAAGGAGAGTGCTTATGTGGTGCGGTAATATGGGCAACAAAGTCACGCTACTTATCGCACTGCAACATTGTGGCATCAGAGCAAATGTTGCTCAAATTACCACTCTGCGTGCAACAAATTCGCATTGTTGGAAAGAAAAGAGAGAGTTTTTTTACTTCTTTCATTGCAAATTTGAATCATTTCTCAAAGTAATAACTCTCTCTGTTCTTTGCAACAATGTTGCGTATGGAGTTGTAACATGAGCAACATAACAATGAGCAACGTAACAATGTTATTGCCTGTATTACCACACCTTATTGAAAACAGGTTTTTCCTGCATTTTACTTATGTTGCTACATGAACAAAAAACGATGTTGCTAGCACGCGATTTTTCTATCCCCGCTGGCAAAYGTCCGGCTAGTGAGCTAGGATGTTTTTTCATAGCTATTCAAGCCCTCTGACTGAGGTGTGTGCTTTCCCTTCCAGAGTATGATAGATGGTTGGTGTGCCGACTTACTCAAAGCTTGCGAACAAACTCTGTCTAATGTAGTTCTTGATGAACACCAAGGTCAGTAACGAAGAATTTTACAGTCATGGGTACCTAGCATGGGTGGCGTACACTACTAACGCATCTTCTTTCACCACTGTGCCTTCCGAAGGTTCGGTCCATTGGTACAAGCCCTGCGGTCGCCACATGTGAATTGAGATTGTTTTATGTGTTGTTCTCTCCTGTGCTACGAGTGTTTTCTCCGGGTTCTCCGGTTTCCTCCCTCCGTAAAAATCAACATGAGTTGAGCGTTGTGTGCATAGAATATTAAATGTAGTGGTAGTGTGTGTGAGTGAAAAGTGTCCCCAATTAGTGCAAAAGCTCAACTAAATGATAATATAGTCAAACCTTTACGATATGGTTGCTTGTTTCAGGTTCAAAAGTCGACGATCAAACCACTGTTAAGAACCTATTCACTGTCGGTGAGGTTGCCCAGGTAACGAATACAGTACAGGTTATGTGCTCATTGGAAATTATATTGCCATATCATAGGTTTATTTTAATTCTATTAATTTCCCCCGCTAAATTATTCCAGTATAATATATATTATTTATTAACACCTGTTTATGAATGCCTGTTTATGAATGTATATGAAAAAGTGTATTTTACTGAGCGCGCCTTAAGGTGACTGCCTACTTTTGGAAAACGATTTAAACTTTTTTTAAAACTTCGATTTTCCGAATTGAAATTTAATGCTGATTCCAAATCTGGAAAGAAAAATTGGGTGTCCTGAGCTTGTTTTCGAGATAATCAGCATTTAATGGAAGCCTATAAGATAATAGTTATTTGCAGACTATATGATTGCACAAATGAAGGCTAGTCAATCATTCTACAATAATACATGGATATTTTTGACAAAAAGACAAAGAGATTGATTTGTCATATTTTGTAGTTTCGGTGCTTTTAAAAAATCTCATAAAGTTGAACAAAAATCCCTACAAAAATCTATTTTTTCATGTCTTACTGATATAAACTTTTTCTAAAATGTTGATATAACATAGATTTTTATGAGTTTTTTCAAATGAGCTATTAAAAAATAGAGTCCTGTGCAAAATTTGAGGGTTTTGCCCTGTTGAAGCTCTAAACGCATATGGTTCTTCAACAAAATCTTGTAGATTTTTCAGCGGTTTCTGAGCGCGCGCACATTGTGGGCTCAAATCGAACGTTCAAAAGTAGACAGCCACCTTAAAAACTCATTTCTTGAAGTTGGTTTTCAAGTTTTGAACAATTGTGTAATAACTTGTAATTTTTGTTTGCTAGCTTGCACCAGGCAGGACGACAGAACGTCTGTTCATGTTGGTTGAATCGATGCTGATATCCCAGCCAACCAACACTACTACCAACAACACCACTACCAACAACGACAACATGCCTCTACACAAAAGTCACCTTTCTTCTACCGTCAAAGCACATGCCTTTGTAACTTTAGGTGAGCAGTCAATCAACACTATTCAAGTACCTTTTTATAAAGAAGTTTCTCTCTAATATTCTCCAGAAAATAAGACTGTACCTAACAGCAACTCGATGTTCCTCATAATCATAATTAACAAACAGCGTTTTCTGTGCTCTGTTCAGTAATGAAGCACGCAGGAAGCGGCGTAAGGCAAGTGCTTCTCATCCTTCTTGAGTGCTTACCGGGCTTCCTAAGACGGTCGCAGGATCTAGCAGTACTTCTCACGCGCAGTTTTCGACCAATCCACGCACGCGTACCATCCCAACTATATGATAAAGGCAATATGATCATGGTAACGTGATTTTGGGTAAGGCAGTTTTCCTAATGACTGAGAAGCTCGCGATACAAACACGGTCGTGACACGGCAAGGCATGCGCCAGACCAATCACATTGCGCGATAAATTACTCTGCATCCAATCAAATGCTTGGAACATGGTGTGAACACAACGCTAACACGTTCATGCCAAGGTCACGGCACTGCCAGACCATTCATATTGTGCGAGAAAACTATTAGCCAATTAAAATTAAAGAAAACATCATGGTCACGGCACGCATACGGCACTGAGCCTTACACAATCATGTGAAAACTGGTCTATGATGCTTGTGGTGTTGTGAGAGTGACGTTTATAATATTCTTCTCATAGGTAAACTATGCCTGCAGAATGAGAACCTAGCCAAGAAGTGTATAGCAGTACTGGCACGTGAACTGGACCTGTCTGATGATCCTGCTATCAGGAATAACGTGATTGTAGTTATGTGTGACTTGTGTGTTCGCTATACTAGTCTAGTGGATAGATACATCCCGAATATCGCCACCTGTTTGATGGATAAGGCACCTCTAGTCAGAAGACAGACGCTCACTTTACTCACACACCTTATACAGGTCAGTGTTCAAATACAATCATTTATTCTAAGCATTATGTTTGATGGTTAGCCATGCCCTGACTTAGATCAGACCAGCGGTTGTTCCAGGGTTTGATCTGTGAGTTAGCCATGCCCTGACTTAGATCAGCCTAGAGGTTGTTCCAGGGTTTGAAAATTGAAAGAATCAACTCATCACATGGCATCACATGGTCTGAAATGTACACAACAAACAACTGTCTTGTAACCTGATATAACCATAATGATGACCCGTAATTAACAACATCACCATCTCAACTATAACCATCATAATCACCCATCCATAATTAACAACATCACCATCTCAACTATAACCA